TATACATCCCTAAACAATTTACCCTTTTTGAAGGCCTTGTCAAGACTAGGAAAAAAGTTTGTTTTAACACATATTAGCTAATATGTTTAAATTAAGAACTATTAAAATGTGTTAGCAACGACTAGAGAGTTTAACATGTTTTTAAGCTTTTTTCTAGGCTAGACAAAAATACAGGAAGTCCCCAGTTCATAACTGGGTTGTGTTTCATTTATAAGTCTGTTGTTTAGAATTCAGAGCTCATTTTCCAATAGAAATCTACATATATATTTTAGAAACATGTGCATCTGTATGGGTATGTCTACACTACCCTCCTAGTTCAAACTAGCGGGGTAATGTAGGCATACCGCACTTGCAAATGAAGCCCGGGATTTGAATTTCCCGGGTTTCATTTGCATAAGTGGGGCTCTGCCATTTTTAAATCCCCGCTCGTTCGAACCCTGTGCCGCACGGCTACACGCGGCACGAACTACCGTTACTCCTCGTGGAATGAGGAGTAACGATAGTTCAAACTAGGAAGCCTAGTTTGAACGGCAACACGGGGCACGAACTACCGTTACTCCTCGTGGAATGAGGAGTAACGATAGTTCAAACTAGGAAGCCTAGTTTGAACTACCTAGTTCGTGCTGCATGTAGCCGCGCAGCACAGGGTTCGAACGAGCGGGGATTTAAAAATGGCGGAGCCCCGCTTATGCAAATGAAGCCCGGGAAATTCAAATCCCAGGCTTCATTTGCAAGTGCAGTATGCCTACATTACCCTCCTAGTTCGAACTAGAAGGGTAGTGTAGACATACCCTATCTGAGTACGTCTGCCTGTCTGTCTGCGAGTCCATTCGTTCAAGAACTCCTCCTAAATAGTCAGAATTGAGACCACCAAATTTGGTTTGCAGCTTCCTTTTATCCTAACTTAATGCAAGGTCAGGGTTTGGTTGTGCCAGGAAAAAAGGATGTGCCTGGAATTTGATTGTTTTCTATAACATGTAAAGGGAGGGGGCTGAGTAGAGGGATGTTATACTTACAGTCTCCACTGAGGGCAGCAAGTGCAGGGGACAGCTATATTTCAGTGACCACTGAGGGAAGCCACACCACCAAGGAAGCATTCAGCTGGGGACAGGGCTTGCCTCCAAGACCCCTTCCCAACTCCTGGGCTAGGCCTGGGGAATGCTATTAGGAGGCCGGCACAGCATCCACTCATCTCTGGGACTGTGCAGCCCCCCCACTCCTCGGTTGCCCCCCAGACCCTCTCCCCCAGCCTGGGCGTGGTGCCCCCCCCCCCCCCTCCCTGCCAGCCCAGAGCCTGGGAACAAGCCTGGGTAAGTCTTTTTGTAACATTATAAGTGGTAGCTAGGTGCCTAAGCCCACAAAAAGCCTATTTAACCTGTATGTAGCTAAAATACTGTATATTCGCAATGAAAAATGGTAGAAATACTTTTTAATACTTTTTAAATGTTGGTACTTGAGGAAAGGCAGGCTTAATTAGAAGAGGATGAGGAAGTAGGTGGAGATTCTGAAGGGGATTTCTGGGCATCCAGGGGCTGCAATTCCTCTCACCCCATGTATCTGCACTGGGTCCTGCAGCCAGCCCCAATTCCCTTTCCTCCATGGGATGCACCTGTTAGAAAAGAACAGGTGACCCAGAGATAGATGGTGTAAATGGGCTTTTTTATTGCAGATACTCGTTCTGCCTCAGACCCCAAAACCCTTGTCTGAGTGAGCAGCAAATTAACAAGTATACCCTTATATCTGAGTTAGTATGTAGACACACATATCTATTACATCTCCACTTAAAAGTTTATTTTGTACTGTGAACATCCATACAATGAATAGTAATAACCATGTGCTCCCAAGGGCTGTCGGGGCTCCGCTGTCCTGGGGCTGAAGGGGCTGCCATTGCTCAGTTGCCCGAGCCAAGGGGGCTCCACACCCCGGACCATGCATATTGCCAGCCCAGAGAGTCCCAGACAAGAGGTTCAACCTGAGTTGCACGAATGCACCTGCTCCTCTGGACCAGCATTTGCACTGCTGGTCACCACTGGTGCCTGTTCCTTGCTCCCCTGAGGCCAGGGCCATCCTTACACATATACAGAATATGAAGTTGTGTAGGGCATCTGAACATTTATGGCACTGGATCTTAATGCCCTCCTGCCTCTTCCTATACTTCTGTTCTGTGGCTCTGCTTCCTTCAGAGAGGCTTTTGGTAACCTGAAAGTGAAAAAGCTTGCAAGACCTATTAGCAGAATATTGAGCTTGTGAAAGAGCCATTCAATCGGTAATGAAGCCATTTAACAGGCATATGCCAGCCCCAGGTATATACTGTTGGTTTCTGAATTTACAGAATTCCACTCCAACTCATCTGATGAAGTGGGTTTTACCTACGAAAGCTCATGATCTATATATTTGTCTGCCTTTAAGGTGCCACAGGACTACTAGCTGTTTTTGAATTTACTGTGTTAGACTACAGAACTTTAGTTTAAAATATGCTTTAAAAAATTTCATTAAGGGCCCAAAAGAAAACTATTCCACTGCGTAGGAAAGACAAAGTATGGCAAGAGACCACGTTGGCTTAACCAGGAGAGCCTACATGATCTAAAAATCAAAAAGGAGTATAATAAAAAGTAGAAACTAGATCAAATTACAAAGAATGAATATAAGCAAAAAACACAAGTATGCAGGGGCAAGATGAGAAAGGCAAAGGTACAAAATAAGCTCAATCTAGCTAAAGAGTAACAAGAAAACATTCTACAAATATATTAGAAGCAATAGGAAGACCAAGGACATGGTAGGCCCATTACTTAGTGAAGAGGGAGAAACAATAACAGGAAACTTGGAAATGGTAGAGGAGCTTAATGACTTCTTTGTTTCGGTTTTCACCAAAAAGTTTGATGCCTAACCAAGAAGTTTGACGGAATGCTTAACATAGCGAATGCTAGAGGAAATGGGGTAGGTTTAGCAGTTAAAATAAAAATAGAACAAGTTAAAAATTACTTAGAAAAGTAAGACATCTTCAAGTCACCAGGGCCTTATGAAACACCTCATCTATCACTTTATTGAGTATTCTAGGATGTATGTGAGCCATAAGCTATCATTTTTGAAAAGTCATGGAAGTCGGGAGAAATTCCACAAGAATGGAAAAAGGCAAATATAGTGCCCATCTATAAAAAGGAAAATAAGAACAACCCAGGAAACTACAGACCAGTCAGTTTAACATCTAGGCCAGAGAAGATAATGGAGCAAGTAATTAAGGAATTCATCTGCAAATAACTGGATGATAATAAGATGATAGGTAACAGCCAGCATGGATTTGTAAAGAAGAAATCATGTCAAACTAATAGCTTTCTCTGATAGGATAACACATTGTGTGCATAAGGGAGAAGCAGTGGACATGGTATACCTAACCTATAGTAAAACATTTGATATGGTCTCACATGACCTTCTTATCAGTAAATTAGGGAAATACAACCTAGATGGGGCTACTTACTATAAGGTGGGTGCATAAATGACTGGATAATCGTTCTCAGAGAGTAGTTATTAATGGTTCACAGTCATGCTGGAAGGCCATAACAAGCGGAGTTCTACAGGGGTCTGTTCAATATCTTCATCAATGATTTAGATAATGGCATAGAGAGTAAGCTTATTAAGTTTTCTGATGATATCAAACTGGGCGGGGTTGCAAGTGCTCTGGAGGATAGGGTCATAATTCAAAATAATCTGGACAAACTGGAGAAATGGTCTCAGATAAAAAGAAGGAAGTTTAATAAGGACAAATGCAAAATACTCCACTTCGGAAGGAACATTCAGTTTCACGCATACAGAATGTGAAATGACTGTCTAGGAAGGAGTACTGCAGAAAGGGATCTAGGGGTCTTAGTGGACAAGATAAATATGAGTCAACAGTGTAAAACAGTTGCAAAATAAGCAAACATGATTCTGGGATGCATTAACAGGAATGTTGAGCAAGACACAAGAAGTCATTCTTCCACTCTCCTCTGCGCTGATTAGGCCTCAGCTGGAGTATTGCATCCAGTGCTGGGTACCACATTTCAAGAAAGATGTGGAGAAATTGGAGAAGGTCTAGAGAAGAGCAACAAGAATGATTAATGGTCTAGAGAACATGACCTATGATGGAATACTGGAAGAACTGTGCTTGTTTAGTTTGGAAAGAAGACGACTGAGAGGGGACATGATAACGGTTTTCACGTATTTAAAAGGGTTTCACAAGGAGGAGGGAGAAAAATTGTTCTCCTTGTCCTATGATGATAGTACAAGAAGCAATGGGCTTAAACTGCAGCAAGGGAGGTTTTAGGTTGGACATTAGTAAAAACTTCCTGTCAGGGTGGTTAAACACTGGAATAAATTGCCTAGGGAGCAGGTTGGAAGTACTAATTACCTACTGCAGAAGAAAGTGTTCCTAGAAACTTTTGAACGTGTAGGTTGCACAAGGTGTAATATGGTCCAGTCCATTTCCTAGGAAAATGCACACTAAAAAACATGTCTTACTATTAACAAACATGGAGAGAAATTGGGATTTTTTTTTTAAATCATAAACTAGAAAACAGTCTTCTTTATAATGAAATATGGTTAGGAATCTAAGGCATATTATAAATGTTAATGCCCGAGTCACTGAGAACGATTAATATGATGTAACCGAATATCAACTGGAATATACTGTAGTAACTGATTATAGACATTGGTGTGTAATAAATTTATGATGGTTTATCCTCAGTTTCCATCTTCAGATGGTGAAGATTAAATGTTAACGGTATTACTATAAATGTAACATGAACATGGTGATGAACATGTAAAACGAATATGAGTAGATTTTCTAATTTTACCACATGGTTTACTTCGGAAGAAAATAAGCATTAGTAATACTTTTGTAACACAGTAAATAGTCACAGAAATCAATGCAACTCACTTCTCTGTTTATGTGGAAGATATTTAGTTTGGGTTGCAAGAATCAGAGTAATATAAACCTCCTGCAGAATACCACAACTAAATTTCTGAAAAGCCACTCGGTTAATCTCCGTGTTGAATCTAGCTGTTTTAAATTACTATAATACATAATAACTGACTTAATGACAATACAGATGCACAGTGCCAAAGAAAGCTAGAAATAGCATCCAAAACTATGAATTAAGAGCCAGCCCAAGTGTTAGGCACATATGGCTGTTTACAAGAATGGAGGAGTTTAGGAATGCAGCCGCCTGTGGTCTCCAGATTGCTCCAGAGGATTGAACTGTGAGGATTTACAAAGTCTGGATGAGAGCAGTAATGCTCCCAGAGATGGTAGACTCTAAAATGGTGGCACCCATCAATTCATGGTAGTAGTTAGAGATATCTATGGTCAGAATATATTCCGTTGGCCTCACAATGTACATCAACAAATTAATATTGTATGGATGTCATTTCAAAGCTTCCTGAAGATGAAGAGGCATTATTAAAACTATTAGAGCACAGATGGTTCAAACTATACGCAGATATTCAAACTTGCATTTTTGCATTATAGCTGCTTTCTTTTTTTTTTATTGTTGAACTGTAATGAATTGTCTCATAATCTATTCCATCTTCTTGCCATTAGCAGGCTCTGAATGTTCACAAATAGGAGCAAAGAACTCATTTTCCAGAGCTTTAATCACACAAAGAACGAATGCCTAATTCTTTAAATGAAATGGTCTGTGATCACTGAAGCAGAGATTTAATATATCACGGCAAATTAGGTAGATTTTAATAAATTACTTATCTCTCTGAATACTTTACATATGCTTATGAAGAAACATAGCCTGTTTGCAAATAGTGAAAACCCACAGCTTATAAAATCCTTTGAAGAAAATGACAAATAAAGTAAATTAAAAAATGAAATGCATTATATCCTAGTTCTCCAGAGACAATTCTTTTGCTGCATTGATTCACAGCTCCATTAAAAATATCAATTAAATCCTTCATTGAGATTGGTTAAAAGCTAGAAAATTAACTTTCCAAGCTTCTTTCTAGCCACTGGTTATCCAGATACAAGGATCATTGTATGTGTTTGATGTAAGTTTAAAAAGTGATAAAAAAACATTTGCCTGTCCCTACAGCTCAAACTAAGCGGAACAGAATCTGATTGATTCTTTTATATTTTTCTTCTGTGCTTTGATTGCTGTTGGTCAAAACTGTAAATCTTTTACTGTATATGAAACTGAGTCCACCCTCCCACTCCTTCAAATCATGATAATCATAAACAACTGCTTATAATGTTAGTAGAAGGGCAAAAGTTATTTAAAAAAAGCTTGCAGTAATTTAATAAGTCTTTCAACTAGCCTCATTCTTTATATTTAATTGATAGAAACTGCATGCATCAAAGAAAACACATACTGAGATTTAATGTGCATAAAATGGATATTAGCATTTTAAAGAGGCAGATTAACACATTAATCCAAGTAATTTTCATATATTGCTTCTAATAAAATCTTCACAGTATAAAATCCTTAATGAGGCTAATCACAGGCATTCCATTTAGTGGGGTGATTAGGGATAACATAAAAGTATTTTTAATCAGTTTTCCAAGGCTTAAGCTTTTTTATTAAAAATTAAAAATTCAACTTGCATTTTTATTACTGTTTTATGTAAGAAAAAATGTTGAAAATGCAAATAAAGCACATCATTCAATCATGTAGGTATTAATTATTTACAAGACGCTGTCCATTGTGGAGAGATTCTTAGCCTTAGGGGGGAAATATAAAAACAGACTGAAAAGTATACAAAACTTTACAACTACAAATAAGCATCCGTTTCATATAAATTATACATTAAATATACTGTACTAATTACAAAAATCTTATCTTAGAAGAGCTATCAAGCATGTGTTTACACTCGGAGAAGCAGCATCTGTAGGTAAACTTTCCTTTCATGCCTCCTAGTCATCTTTGTGCTCCTCATAGACTGAGCGCAGAGCATGGAGGGCTTCCACTGTTACTTTGAGCTTTCCAATTACTGCACTATCATCTTGTGAATCGAGAACTAGGAAGGAAAGATCAGATACAAATATTAGCAATTTAATTTAGTTTTTCTGTTTCAATAATTTCACTCTAGCATTAACTACAGGCACCCAATTCAAATTTACAAAATAGTGCTTAGTTCTAGATTCTCAATCTAGCAGGATGCATAATGTTCTCAAGCCCTCAGAAGTGGGGGGGAGGAGTGGAGAAGAAAGTATTTTGCACCTTACAGAATTGAGTTCTTCCAAACATTAGGAGAGAGGAACACTTTCAATTTCATCTCAATAATGATTTATGCAAAGTTTAATTTTTAAGTTAATGGATCTGTATTTAAGATATATCTTCCCAAATTGTTCACTCTTCATAGTAAATAAATATCACACGAGGAAACGTATATATTTTGGTTTTGATCCTGCTCTTGCTGAAGTTAATGAGTATGTTGCCATCAACTTCAATAACAGTAGAATTAGATCCTTGTTTCTAATGAGTATATGGGTTTGGACTGGTTCTTAATTTGCCTGAATCATTTATTACTGCTTTCCCTAGCAGTAATGATTCTCTGAAGAGCTATACAGAACATTATCTATTTTAAGTAGTCTCTTAATGGAGAAGTTTTGTGTGTCCTCTCCTACCTTTAGTCACATAGCTCTTTGGTCATATTTCCAAATTGCCAAAGTAATTTCTTAGGTAAATGTGATACGGTGGATGCTCATGTTTTCTGTCCTTGAAACAACTTTTCACAGATATACACTAAGTGCCATCAAAAGAACAATGTAAACATTTGCTTACTGCTAAATTAGATCTGAGGGGCTAATCTGATTTCCCCACACCCGCAAAAAAATAGCCTCCCAAAACTATGTGGTTATTAAAAAAAAAAAAATCTGTAGAGACTTTTGTTAGAGCAGCCTCATAGCCTTGCATAGAAATCCAGGAGAGAGCAATTTGTTTTCTAGCAGAACTTTAAACACCATTTATGCATCCAATGTAGACAAAGATGGTAATATTTTTAAAATGCATTATCTGATCATGGTTTACCAGAAGGGGGAATATTGTCTTTGTCTACAGCATGCAAGAAGCCTGGAGTCAAATTCATATTATATTTCACCCAGACAACATCAACATGTCATTTGTATATTCATGTCTGAATTGCATGATTCAAGCCCAATCATGCACACACTGAGCTATAATGTCATGTCAACAGTTCACACCTCATCTACTTATGTACAGGCAGTCCCCGAGTTACGCGGATCCGACTTACGTCGGATCCGCAGTTACGAACGGGGCACTTCCTCTCCCTGGTCTCGAGCAGACCAGGGAGAGCAAGCAAAGCGGCGGCAGAACGCGCGGCCAGCTGACAGCCCAGACGCGTCTGGGCTGTCAGCTGGCCGCGCGTTCTGCCGCCGCTTTGCTTGCTCTCCCTGGTCTGCTCGAGACCAGGGAGAGGAAGTGCCCCGTTCGTAACTGCGGATCCGACGTAAGTCGGATCCGCGTAACTCGGGGACTGCCTGTACATAAGTAGATGAGGTGTGAACTGTTGACATGACATTATAGCTCAGTGTGTGCATGATTGGGCTTGAATCATGCAATTCAGACATGAATATACAAATGACATGTTGATGTTGTCTGGGTGAAATATAATATGAATTTGACTCCAGGCTTCTTGCATGCTGTAGACAAAGACAATATTCCCCCTTCTGGTAAACCATGATCAGATAATGCATTTTAAAAATATTACCATCTTTGTCTACATTGGATGCATAAATGGTGTTTAAAGTTCTGCTAGAAAACAAATTGCTCTCTCCTGGATTTCTATGCAAGGCTATGAGGCTGCTCTAACAAAAGTCTCTACAGATTTTTTTTTTTTTAATAACCACATAGTTTTGGGAGGCTATTTTTTTGCGGGTGTGGGGAAATCAGATTAGCCCCTCAGATCTAATTTAGCAGTAAGCAAATGTTTACATTGTTCTTTTGATGGCACTTAGTGTATATCTGTGAAAAGTTGTTTCAAGGACAGAAAACATGAGCATCCACCGTATCACATTTACCTAAGAAATTACTTTGGCAATTTGGAAATATGACCAAAGAGCTATGTGACTAAAGGTAGGAGAGGACACACAAAACTTCTCCATTAAGAGACTACTTAAAATAGATAATGTTCTGTATAGCTCTTCAGAGAATCATTACTGCTAGGGAAAGCAGTAATAAATGATTCAGGCAAATTAAGAACCAGTCCAAACCCATATACTCATTGATTCAAAGAATTTAAACTCTTCCAAGGTACACATCGATATCTGCTCCTTCTCATCATTTGCCTCTCTACTTCCAGTGATTTCTGATATGTGCTCTGGGAACTAAGAAGCGCATACTGTTCTCTGGAATTTCAGCTCTAACACAGTTGCAAACACACACAAAAAATGGGCACGTGGAATAGACAAGAAGCATCAGTCACTCATTCCCCACTCAACTCCACCACAATACTAATTCAACAATTCAACTTCCTCTGCAGGTCCAACACCAAGTCAGGTTTTCCACCATCAGGTGGGGAAGAGAAAGAGATATGAAGGCCCACTGATGGGGGCAGAAGAGGGTGGGGAGAGAAGCGAGCTGTTGCCATGGGGCCTGATGATTCAAAGGGGCTTATGGCTCCCAGCTGTTGCGGCAGTGCCTGGAGCTCTGGGCCCTTTACATCACAACCCAGAGCACCAAAGCACTGCATGCTCCAAATGGCTGATGTCAGGGGTCGGGGGGGCCTTTCCATCTGAGGCCCTGCCCTTTCTGGGAGTATGGAACTGCACCCCCTCACCTTACCCAGGGTCCCGCGGAGGCTGTTGGCTACCCTGGATATGTGGATTGGCTGTAGCCTCTCCCCTATCACCGAGGCTAATAGGAGGAACTCTAAAGATACATACATAGTACGCTTATTAAGTTTGCAGATGATACCAAACTGGGTGGGGTTGCAACTTCTTTGGAGGATAGGGACATAATTCAAAATGACCTTAGCAAGTTAGAGAAATGGTCAGAGGTAAACAGGATGAAGTTTAATAAAGAGAAATGCAAAGAGCTCCACTTAGGAAGGAACAATCAGTTCCATACATACAAGATGGGAAGCGACTGTCTAGGAAGGAGCATGGCGGAAAGGGATCTAGGGGTCATAGTGGACCACAAGTTGAATATGAGTCAACAGTGTGATGCTGTTGCAAAAAAAGCAAATATGATTCTAGGTTGTATCAACAGGTGTGTTGTAAGCAAAACTCGTGAAGTCATTCTGCCGCTCTACTCTGCACTAGTTAGGCCTCAGCTGGAGTACTGTGTCCAGTTCTGGGCGCCACATTTCAAGAAAGATGTGGAGATATTGGAAAGGGTACAGAGAAGAGCGACAAGAATGATTAAAGGTCTAGAGAACATGACCTATAAAGCCAGGCTTCATGAACTGGGCTTGTTTAGTTTGGAAAAAAGAAGATTAAGGGGGGACATGATAGCGGTTTTCAAATATCTAAAAGGGTGTCACAAGGAGGAAGGAGAAAAATTGTTCCTCTTGGTTTCTGAGGACAGGACAAGGAGTAATGGGCTTAAAGTGCAGCAAGGGAGGTTTAGATTGGACATTAGGAAAAAATTCCTAACTGTCAGGGTGGTCAAATATTGGAATAAATTGCCAAGGGAGGTGGTGGAATCTCCCTCTCTGGAGATATTTAAGAACAGGTTAGATAGACATCTGTCAGGGATGGTGTAGATGGAGCTTGGTCCTGCTTTGAGGGCGGGGGGCTGGACTCGATGACCTCTCGAGGTCCCTTCCAGTCCTATGATTCTATGATTATACATATTTTTGCAAAAAAAGCTTCAGTGGCAGTGAATCTCAGAGCCAGCATCAACTGACTTGGGCTCATGCTACAGGGCTAAAAGATAGCAGTGTAGCTGTTACTGCTGAGGCTAGATCCTGAGCTCTGAAATCAGGTAAGGAATGGGAAGGGCTAGAGGAAGCCAGCAGAGAGTCCTCTCTCCACCCCACAAGAAAATGGAATATTTAGCATCTCATTATACTTCTTCAGGTGGCATTTCCTGCTCCAGACAATCACTGCCTTTGTTTGCCAGATGGGAAATTAATCAATTGCAACAGAGCTTGCTCTAACCAAATAGCTAATGTAAATCAATATTCTTTTGTCATATCTTAGATACACATTTCATTCAGGAGTACATTTCTTTAAGATTCCAACTTTGTATATTCAGCACGAATTCAGACTGAATTGAATTATATAAACTATGTGTTAACTATGTACACTACATGAACATTTTGGGGTCTGAACTCTGAGGGTATGTCTACACTGGCCCCCTAGTTCGAACTAGGGAGGCTAATTTAGGCATTCGAAGTTGCAAATGAAGCCCGGGATTTAAATATCCCGGGCTTCATTTGCATCTTCCCGGGCGCCGCCATTTTTCCGCGCCCCGCGGCTACACGCGGCACGGAGTAGGTAGTTCGAATTAGGATCTCTAATTCAACCTACCGTTACTCCTCGTGGAACGAGGTGTACCAGTAGTTCGAATTAGAGATCCTAATTCAAACTACCTACTCCGTGCCATGTGTAGCCGCGGGCATGGAGTTCGGACCAAGGGGGAATTAAAAATGGCGGCGCCTAGGAAGATGCAAATGAAGCCCAGGATATTTAAATCCGGGCTTCATTTGCAACTTCGAATGCCTAAATTAGCCTCCCTAGTTCGAACTAGGGGGCTAGTATAGACATACCCTGAGAGTCTATGTTAGGGGACCCAATTCCTTATTAAAGTCACTGAAGGTTTTCCAACTGATTCAACAGAACCAAAATTTGGCTCTTAAGCACCAGAGAGCTACCTAATATTGCCAAATATGTCTAGACAGCTATTTGTAGTATGAAACTGACAAAAAATAATTGAATATAAAATTAAAAACTCAGAGGGCTTTATTAGCATTTAAAGAAATACCGTGCTTCTACAAAAGATAAAAATATACTTGTTAGTAATCAGATCCAACAGTCTCAGGTTCTGTAAACTGATTATTCTAATAATAATTTACTAGTAATACTGTTCAGATTTTTTCCAAATTAGGTTAGTGTCACTCTTAGTTAGAAGATATTACTAATTCTATGCAGTTCTTTAAGTTTTAGGAAATACATCTTATTCCTAAAAATAAACATTATGTGCAGATGAATCATGACAATTGATTAAAGTGACACTGTATCATTCAGTATTATAACAATAATTAACTCTTTAAGTATTAAATATCTCAGAGCAGAGACAAAAAACTAATAAATTTTTAAAATGAATGGATGTCAAATGTTAAAACTAAGAACTCTGCTAAACTTACCATCAATATCTTGTTCAATGATGTCTTTTTCTTTCTGAAATATCTCCCTTAGACTAACGTGAGCAAAGCCAATGTCTTCACACTCAAGATCTTGTTCATCTTCTGGTGGGTCACTAACCACTGTAAATCGTATGCTGAAAATATAACAAAAATTCTCACTATTAAAATGATCTGTAACACCCAAACATTTGGGGATTAAATCCAGACAATAAAAAATAAAATAAAGGCAGAGCACACCTAGATATTCCCAATTTATCATATTAAAACAATGCTTTTCATCAGTGACTCTCAATGAGGGGTATATGTACCCTTGGGGTATGCACAGGTATTCCAAAGATACATTAACTCATCTAAATATTTGCCTAGTTTTATAACAGGTTACATAAAAACACTAGTAAAATTAGTACAGACTAAAATTTCATACAAAGACTCATATTGCTTTATATATTATACACTGAATGGAAGTACTGTACCTGTACAATATTTATATTTTGATTTATTTATTTTATAATTATACGGTAAAAAGGAGAAAATAGGCAATTTTCAGGAATCATGTTCTGTGACATTTGGTATTTTTATATCGGATTTTGTAAAAAAGTAGTTTTTAAGCAAGGTGAAACTTGGGGTAGTTGAAAAGGCTGAAAGCTACTGGTTTTGATTAGTGCTTCTCAACCCTTCTAATAGCAGGACTCAATTATTCATAGCACATCATCCAGGTACATCTCCACCACCTTCCCATCTGGCTCAGATATGCCTCTTTTCCTCCACTTAGCAATATGGGATGAACTGGTCAATTGTGACTCCAAGTTGAGATCCTCCAAATTGAGAACTGTTTATAGGACTAACCATAGCTCTCAGAGCTAGGAACTTCTAAATTCTTAGTTTATATAGTTCAATTACTTCACCATTTTATAAATTAGGAAACTGAAGTAGAGAAGTAATTATTCCCATATAAATCTTGAGGTTTTTTTATGAAGACTCATCTATGTACAATCCTTTGAAAAATGTTGTGCTTTTTATTCTGCTGAGTATCTGTAATTTATTTGAAATAGCAAATAAACTTTGCCTTTGGAGGAGGGGGAAGGATTCTGAATAATTTCCATGTGATGTTTTGAATCTTAGTTAGCATATGTATACTTAAGGCTGAAAATGATTCATTAAATGCCATCAGAATTTTTTTGGTTAAATCTTTCTGTACTACAGAACATTGAGGTGAAGACCTGCTGCTTTACTTCTGAGTTTTGCCACGTAATAAACTCTAAGCACAAAACAAAATGCAAAGGTCACTCATTCTCCTGGGCTTATACCAAAACATGATAAATAGATGATAGAGCCATAGGGGATGGGTAAGCCAAATAATCAATCAGTCAAAGAGCAGACATGCTAGCCATATTCAGTGAAACAGTATGTCCAAATATCAATTGCAGAATATTCAGCTGTAAGATATTTTGGAATTTACACCTCTGAAACAGTTACTAGTAGAGAATATTTCAGCCAAGAAAAATACCACTATTTTTTGTTCCAAAACAACAATACAAGTTAAGAGTCCAAAGCCTGCTGTCCCAGAATAACATCTTTGTAATGGAGTGTTATATATTTGGTGTTCAAAGCTAGATAATAATTAAATCCAGCAGGCATGTATAAATACATAGCAAGTGCATCTCCATGTGGATTTTTCGTATTCATTAAATTTGACTCCTTCTTTAGCTTCCATGATCAGTAAAATGATTCTTATCTTAGTCGATAATACTATTGATATTTTCATAAGAGTACAAAGACACTTATTACAATTTAAAAAAAAAATCAGTTCTGATCTTCTTTTCAGTAACTAGACATTTTTGTGCCCCGGGCAAAATATTAATTATGCGTCCCCTCTTCTTAAGTTAGCAGGTGTCACATTCTTTACTATTGCAGCTTATTAATTTTACTAATTGTGTCTGTGCACCCTGATTATGATGTGCCCAGAGCTTGCCCCACCCTTGTTGCAGCCCGGCTTGTCTTTACAGGCCCTCAGCTGCATGCACTGAGTGCATGATACTTTTTGCCAAACTTTTTGACTCTGTTTCCTTTTGCTATGCCCTACCTCCCCATTCCTCTTTCTTTTTGCCATGACCCATCAACAATAAAAGAAAAAAAACCCTTAATTTTCCTTTCTCTGCTGTCATGCTGCCAGCCTCATTCCATAGCGACATATAATTCATATTTGACCCCCCCCTTACTGTGTATGCACTGTACATTTTTTAAAAATCTAAACATAGTGTAAGACCTCTGAACACAATCATCATCCTATCCAAATAAGGGCCTACTTGCCCATTCCTAATGTTTAAGCCAAACAGCTATACAAAATGTTTGTATTTCTTCTGCAAACAAACTTCAGTAACTGCATCCAAGTATTACTTTCCTTCTAAGCATATAATTGTAATGTTCTGATGAAGCTGACTTGAATTAGTGGCTTGTGTGGAGGCCAAAAACCGTGGACTGACCGAATGACAAGAATTTAGAGCTAAATACTCTTTTGATATGTCTTGGCAATGTAGTTTTATACAAATCCTCCTAAAAGCTCTTAATGGTATTAGCAACCACTGTAATATTCTTTGACAGTGTTCTATTTTTGTGCTCAGCTACGATAACTAATAATAAATATTTAACCTTTGTTCCTTTGCGTAAATGTTTTTAGTGGGAGAAATACCCCAGCAAGTACATGAAGAAGGCATAAGATCTGGCAGATTATGGCAAGCAACTCTAAAATCTTTGGCATATCACTAAGCAATATAAGCAAATAAAAATAAAAAAAATAATTCTTGGATATAAAACAGAAGTAACAATTGAACTCTTCAAACTCTCTAAAAGAGACAGAGAAAACTCTTCAAACTCTCTAAAAGAGACTGACAAATAAATGCTTTGGAATACCATGTGCTTATTCTTAAAAGTGCAGAATATAGCAACTATGGTGTGGGTCCTGCACTTCTGGTGGATAGTGTTCAGTCTCAAAGTCTCGCTGTGTCCCACCACACGGCCTCTTTCTTTACTAGAGGCAGGGTTCATAGAATCATAGAATAATAGATCTGGAAGAGACCTCAGAAGGTCATCAAGTCCAGCCCCCTTTTCTAGGCAGGACCAATCCCAACTAAATCAACCCGGCCAGGGCTTTGTCAAGCCAAGACTTAAACACCTCTAGGGATGGAGACTCCACTACTTCCCTAGGTAACCCATTCCAGTGCTTCACCGCCCTCCTAGTGAAATAGTTTTTCCTAATATCCAACCTGGACCTCTCCCACCACAACTTGAGACCATTGCTCCTTGTTCTGCCATCTGTCACTACTGAGAACAGCCTTTCTCCATCCTCTTTGGAACCTCCCTTCAGGAAGTTGAAGGCTGCTATCAAATCCCCCCTCTCTTTGCTTCTGCAGACTAAACAGACCCAACTCCCTCAGCCTCTCTTCATAAGTCATATGCTCCAGCCCCCTAATCATTTTGGTTGCCCTCCGCTGGACCCTCTCCAATGCGTCCACATCCTTTTTGTAGTGGGGGGCCCAGAACTGGACACAATACTCCAGATGTGGCCTCACCAAAGCCGAATAAAGGGGAATAATGACATCTCTGGATCTGCTGGCAATGCTCCTCTTAATGCAACCTAATATGCCATTAGCCTTCTTGTCTACAAGGGCACACTGTTGACTCATATCCAGCTTCTCATCCACTGTAACCCCCAGGTCCTTTTCTGCAGAACTACTACTTAACTGGTTGGTCCCCAGCTTGTAACTATGCTTGGGATTCTTCCGTATCAAGTGCAGGACTCTACACTTATCCTTGTTGAACCTCATCAGATTTCTAGTGGCCCAATCCTCCAATTTGTCTAAGTCACTCTGGACCCTATCTCTGCCCTTAAGTGTATCTACCTCTCCCCCCAGCTTAGGTTCACAGCCTATTGATCCAAGCTCATCACAGGCTAGTCCATAATATAGGGCTGAAACCCCTCAATAGTCCTGGCCTCCCTATTCAGGGATAGACCTTCTAGTGGTATGGAGATGGTTAATTAAACAGAAATTAAAAGGTACAGTCACAAAAATAAAATCCCTATAAGCTGCATGGAAACTTTTCAAAGATACCATCATATACCCCAAATTAAAAAACACAATAACAAAACCAAAAAAAGTGCCACCATGTCTTACTGTGACGGGGCACCAGGCTCCAATGCGGAGAAGTGCACGGCACCCCGCACTCCCTGGCATGCCAAAGGCGGGGGAGGCTCCCGCGAGGAAGACACGGGGACAGCCATGGCAGCAGGAGGAGCCGGGCTCCAGGAACGCTGCCGGGTATGGGCTGTGTCTTGGCGCGCATGCCCAAGATGTACCGGGACAGCCGGGTTTCCCTACGGCTGACATCATCAACCCGCGCCCCAGGAAGGGGGCAGGGCCAGGAGAAGCGGGCCTGTCAAAAGGTTCCCGGAGTAGGCAGAAGGGGGGGATGGCGGAACTAGAGAGGGAGAAAGGAGGTGCCCTGGAGAAAGCCGGAGGGAACACAGCACGGCCGGGACAACCGTCATTGGTTTGGGAGCAAGCCAAGGCACGGAGGAGGAGGAGGAAGTGATCCAGGACGGGGAACAACCCTGACGGTTGGTGAGTTTCGGGGAACGCCCCACCAACCAGGCAGTGCTAAGGTGCCGCTGCCTTTAAGGGTCCTGGGCCCTCTGGGGGCATCTGGCACTGGCCACTGTCAGAAGACAGGGCGAGATGGATCTTTGGTCCGACCCATAATGGGAGTATTTATGTTCATTAATGGCAATAGCATTTGGCTTCCAATACAAAAGAACCTCAGAGTTATGAACACCAGAGTTACAAACTGCCAAATTAATCACACACTTGGAACCAGAAGTACAGCTAAGCAGACAGCAGCAAATTAAAACTAACAAATGGTACAGTACTGTGTTCAGAGCCAGCCCAAAATATGGGCCAACTGGGCTACCGCCCGGGGCGCTCCATTGTAGGGGGCATTGCGTGGGGCTGCTAGGTCAGGTGGGGGTGGTACTGCACATGCTCCATGCGCCCGGGGTGGTGTGAGGCATGCACTGGGTGCTTGGGGGCGGGGCACACCCGGGGGCGGAGCCACGCATGCATCACACTCCTAGGGGCGGTGCCGCACTCCCGGGGCCTAGGGTCCACAAATAGCTCGGGCCAGCTCTGATTGTGTTAAATGTAAACTACTAAGAAAATGAAGGTAAAGTGGCAGAAATAGAACTAGTAGAATCTGATATGAGGTATAAGGCAATATGCCACATTAATTGTGAAGGCAGAATTCATTTATTATCCATAGCTACTAAAATTACCCACCACACACACATTCCTAGAGATGGGATGTATAATTACCAGCCTCAGTTGCTATTCCACTGGCTAGGTGCTCTAGACACGAGGAGCCAAGTTGCATCAATGCATACTGATACTCCTAGAAGATGACTGTAGAACTGAAAGACCCAATTCTATAGTCTGGCATGCATCTTTTTATATGTTTCAGTCCATAGTTCTTGTCCTGCCTCACTGCATGACCATGAACAATCAGTTAACCTCAGATGGGACTTTGGTCTTCTTTTCTTGATGGGGCTTTTGTATCTCTTTCTTGGGTGGGTTCTTTTGCAGAGCTCACTCACATTGTTCTTTGGCCACCAAGGTGCTGCTGGCAGCTGGTCATCCAGACAGGCTGGCTTCAGGGACTGGTCCCTTTATACACACAGCCCCACATTCACTTTTCAATAAGATTACACCCCCACACATCTAATTTTAAACAGAGTTAAGTAAGTATAAAGTTTGAAATGGGGTTTCAGTTACAATATGGAAAGAAGTTACCAAAAAAAATTGGTAATTTATTAAAAGGAAAAGTTCAGTCTTCAGCCCTACACAGTACACTACTGGGTTAAATGTAAACTACTAAGAAAATAAAAGTAAAGTGGCTCAGATGCTGTTTGGCAAAATATTTGAAATGAATATGTTATTGTAATTGGTCTACATGAAATACCTATCTGCCTCATTAAAGGTACCCTTGATAGAAAAAAATAAGACTTTGTTTTCAGTGCTGTATGATTCTCTAGCATACCATCTTCTCCAACTTGATAATTTACACAATAAAACTGAATTACTTTGCTTATTTGCCAAAATGAAAAGCTTTTGATGTGATATTTCCGTGGTCTTATCAGATCTGCTTTTTGTCCGATTCAATTAAACATTGTCTTCTGGCTAACAGATGGAACTCAATTTTAAAGTCAAATGGAAGAAAGAGAAATTACTATCTTATTGCCAGATTGTGCTCTAACATGTCACTGGGTTTCTGTAAATGTGTAAATAAATAAATGACACTACATTTCAAACACAATTAACAGGTTTACTACTATCCTGTAAATGGCATGGATCTTCAGATAAACGGGTCCTCTACATTTGTGATGGATGGCCTCCAAAGAAAAACAGTGTAAGTGTTGTTGAGTTTTTTGGTTTTTAGTAAAAACAAGTAATATGCATGCTACCATCCAAAGAACTTATACGGAGTTTTCAATTAAATCTCTCTCACAGATAAAACATTGATAATATTAATTTATTTAATTTTCCCAGAACATCATGTGCTGAATAAAATGATTTTACAAACAATGAGACAGGATTGCATCATTTCAAGGCACAAGAAAAACCAATCAGCGAAGGGACAGGTATGTAACCACATCAAAGTTGACTGGCTGCGATGCCAGTGTGACACATGCAATTCATGTGTCTGGAAGGCATATCACATGCCATAAAATGTAAATATTAAATTACAGTCAATTATATGCAGTTTTAACTTACTACTGGGAAATTAAATAAATTTGTAGATATTCTGAGTTGGTGCTATCTTCTTCCAACTTCTCAGAGATATTTCCTCAACAAGAAATTGTTACAAAGGTATGCCACGTCACAGACTATATTCATATATTCACCATCAATATTTACCTGCCAGCATTCAATTCTGATTCTTGAAGTACAGATTTTAGAAATTCTCTCCTTGCATGGTTGTTCACTTTATCCACGTGAATCACTGGAAAGCAAACCAAAACTCTCAAATGAATATGATAATTATTTATAAACTAAAATTAGAATAATCTTGTTTTTGGCATTTACAGGTAAAAAGATGAGAAAAAACAAGTTTCCTTCTTCAGTGCTCCCTAAGAAATGCAACAATGAAAGTGAGAATTAAATCTGAACAGTCATGTGATCTAATGTCAAGTCACTGGCAAGTTTTTGTGCACAATGTCAGAAAAGATAGCAGCATCTAAGTATGCCACATAGCTGTCATTTTCTGTTAATGGCACTGGCAATCATGACTGTACAAGCCAGTGGTTTTATTGCTTTCTATATGAGGGAATTTACTGTATTTTCTTTCACCCGAAAAGCTAGTGATAATGATAATGTATGGCAGAATGCTTGTGCCTTCTGACAGCCTCGGTAATTTAATCCTCCTCTCCTGCCACAACACGTAATAAGAAAGGCATCTAGACCAGTGGACTGAGGAAATCCACAGCCGGATGTTTATTTAAAGAAAAAATAAACAAACCCCATATTGCTTTAGTTCAGAAAACACACCTATGACTACTTCAGACTTACTTTTTTTGTACCACTAAAGTGTCAGACAAACAAATCTCCTTAGATAAAATCACGAGAAGAAAATTAGAAAAAAGGATTTTAGAAAATTCCATATGAATGTTTCTGGCAGGGAGTCCCTTCACTCGAAAGGGGCTTCTTTCTTAGTATGAAGGAATGGTCTACAAGAATTATAACTGTTTAAAAATCAAGGGAGATGAGGAATTAATTAGATTCACATCAAACAGGTGAAACTGGGAATAAATAAATTAAATTAAAAAGTATTTCAGATTCAGAAACTTCCTGAACAGAAGATTTATTAGAGTGGAACAGGCTTCCAAAGGGAATGGTGTAAACTCCAACAGATAGGGACAATTAAAACCAAACCATTTAAAGCAATGGAGATTATAGGGAACACCTCTTTCAGAGGTCAGGCTGGCTGGGTCATCCTGAGTCTATTCCATCACTAAAGTACGAGGCAGATATTGTGTCTATTAAGTTTTTCCTTTCCCCCCCTTCCATTC